ACACACACACACACACACACACACACACACACACACACACACACACACAAAAGAAGGACACCACAGAGCTGTTCACTGTATTTCTGGATGAGAGTATCAGTGCTGATAGCCCTTTCCTTGTTGCTAATTCAAGTATCAAAGTACAGATTTTGTTGGATATTACTTCCATAGTACAACAGAAGAAGAAACACATGTATCTAGTGATCTCACCATGATGTCATGCACTGAAGGTGACTCAGCAGCATGTAAACAGTGTAGTATTAATTTTGTGTCTGCCTCTTTCTTTGATGATGACAGCTCTGGAACTGGGTGGCTTACTGTTGTAATTCCATTATGTCTGGAGATAGACACAACTTTTCTCACAGACAAACAATTTTTTACAATCAATTAGTTTAGGGGCATAATCATCTTTCTGCCACTCAATGAGAAGGAGATTAATGAGGTATTTCTTGTTTTCGTTGTTTGAAAGGAATGATTTCCAATCCCTGGGCAATTTTGTTGAAGGCCCTTTAACCAAGATTTTCGGGGAAGAACTTCTAAATTGTTCAGTGGACTTTATAGAGTTTTCTTTGTAGCTGTCTGTAACAAAGTCAAATTGTTTCAAATCTGGCAAAACAGAGAACACCTTTCTTGCCAGTTCTCCAAATGTACCAGGTAGGCCTGTGAGTGACAGTACCATCAATTATGTAGACTTTCTCTCTCATTACAGTATCTGTGTCTGGCAAATGTACATTCTGAATGGCTGATGGATCCTCTAGCTTTGTCAGTTATGAGAGGCATGCCATCAGCAGTTGCTAATGGCCAGGGTAGTGTTCCAAGAGGGTACAACAGAATTTTTTCCATACTTAGGCTATATCTCTCTGAGAGCACCACCAAAGATATTTCTTTGTGTTGTTAACTGTACTACCTTCTTTTGAGAAGACTTTAGTTTGGGGTACTGTTGAAGATAAGTAAATGTCTGGAGAGATCTTTTCAGAGGTGCATGGAAAGGAACAGATTTGTTTACAAGTCTTGTTTTCACAAAATCTTCATATCTTTTAGTATCTTCTGTTGTGAGATCTGTAGTAATGTAATCTGGGGCTTTGGCTCTACCTCAAATGGATTGTTAAAATTGACAAACGACTGCATAACTTCCCGTACTTCATTCTCACTCTGTTTCGTCTCTGATGGCATCATATCTTTGTGAGCAGACTCTAGGGATTCATTCATATCTGCTAGTTCCATTGCTGTTATAACATAACTTACTCTCATGTGTCTTGTTACATGCCATTTATAGTATACTGGATAATTCCTGCTGAAGCCAGTAATGCCACCATTTGACTTTGCTTTCCGATTTATCATTTGCTTTGTCAGATCAACAGCATTTTTTGATGCAGGTCCAGCAGATTTGGATACACTAAATCCTTTATTTTTCGACAGGCTATCAGCTACAGGATGAAAATGACATAAATTGAGCAGTTTTATGAGCATAGTTGTAGTGATTCACACTGAAAAGTAGTGGATCAAGGTCTTGAAGGCATGTCACATGCAAATTGAAATCATTCAGCTTTGTAACATGAAGAAACTTCAGCAGCAACCATATTCTATCCATATGTTGCACCCAGAACTGAGCTGTCTTCACTAGTGCCCCATTCCTTGCATTTTCTTTAAATTCGCTGTATTTGATGTATAGGACTACAATATGTTTTTTGA